GTTGCATGACCTTTATCTGGAACGATCTTTAGCAAGAGTTAATAAACGATGAATCACACATTATACATCATAAAAGTTTATTAGTACACAACCCATGAAACACAAACGGAGTATAAATAAAATATTTCTAACAAAAACCAATGTTTTCCCATGCAGTTTATCTAATTAGGACGGTTCTTCTATCAGGATACACAGTTATCATCTTCATTGTGTACATAACAGAGATTTGGGAATGAAATGGGGTCACAGCCAGAGTGGATGATTGTAAACAGTGAGTTCTCTGTGTTTTAACTGGGACACTCTGTAATATTTTGATGAAGCTGGAGCCATGGATATCTCCTTATCTGCAAACGACTATGATATGATGATGTAATGATGTGATGATGTGGCAGACTGGAGTTGTATTAAATGCTTCTTTAACTGTGATTCGGGGCAACTTCAAGAGATGTGAGCCTGGTGATGTGGCGCTGCCTTCTGTAACTAAGCAACTTCTCTAATCTGAGTAAGATTATATTTTTCTGTTCTGTTGTCATGTCTCCTGGTTATTTAATACATAAACATTATGAAGTGTTATTTAAAGAGTTTGTCCAGAGTGATCTCTTCTGAGGAAAAGAACTGGAGAGAGAAAGCTTCAAGGCTGAAACACAGAGATCTCCTTTAAATTAGCTTCCACTTAAGCTGACCAAGGAAAAGGAAAGAGAAAACGGAGGAACAAACTACACTCAGACGGCTTCAAACTCCCTAGTCCTTCTCTCATCAGGACCTGCTTTGTGATGGTGATCAGGGTAACCCTCAATCTGGTGTCTCACTGGATGAATCAATGTTTTGATCCTTGTCTGACCTCCAGCTGGCAGTAGAAAGATTAAGAACATTTCATATTTTTAACCCATTATTCCAAGGTTTTTTTAAATATATAATTACCAATCACTCTTCTTTTAAACTAGAACACTTTAATTGCTTTAGCCCTAAGTGTTAACATCTGGAGAAATGCTTTCTTTTCAGGCCAACACTGCAATATGCTTGTTTGCTGGACATTTGGAGGTGTGTCTGACTGAAGGAACCAGCTCTCTGCTTCAGTCAAAGTGCTTGTTGCTGTTACTTTACTATTTGCACATTCTCGTTCAGCAATCTGGTTTGAAAGGGAACTCCAGCCTCTCTCATGCTGTTCTGCTTAAGCTTCTGCTCTTGCACAAGTTCATGGACCTCATACCTTCTGCTCTGACACACACACGCTCTGCTACTGCTAAGGCCAGGTGTACCCAGGAGGAGTTTTTGCCCTTTTTGGGACAATTCTTAAGTCATGTGAAAGTTGTTTTGATGAGGCTGAGTTTCAGTCTTATTGTGCGTCCTGCGTCATGTAACGAGCAATTATTAGCTTCTTACGACCACCTCCCGATCAGGAATTGAAAGGTTTAAGAGAAAATCAAACATGTTTGAAATTCAGTCGGCCATTGTGAGGTGTTGGTGAGCAAATCCTGCTGCTGAAACTATTACAAGCGTCTACGATTTTACAAAAATTTCCCTCACTGCACATGTGAAAATAAGGAAATTCCTCTTCTTCTTCCAGATTGACGAGTCCGACTAGCGCCATCTCTTGGTGCTGAGTCAAGCTTGTGGTTTCTGGATGTGAATTGTGAGCAGGTAGATCACATCAGAGCATTTGGCCATACAGTGGAAGAACATCATGAGTTGGGAACATTTTGAGCTGTGGCTGAGTACAATGGTTGAAAATATCATACAATGTACACTCAGATTCATAGATTTAGCTCCTGCTCTTGTTGCCTGTTAGAGGTTACAGTAAAAATGTTTCCATACATTTATTTTGTCAGAATCGCATTCAAAGAGCCTAACGAAGATGGCAACAGTTGAATCAGTTTCTTAAATTAAACATAAATGCTTTCAGGCTCACTTAGGGTGCTACCCGCTAACAGTCGGCATTTGATTCCTTTCCCACTGCCATAAAAAGTTGGTCTAACCTCTCACTGGCAGCCATGTGGCCTCTGCCCCCTTACTGCTGCGTGTCTGTTGACACCATCTCGGTGGGTTAGCGTTGATAATAACACCAGCGTGACAGAAATCAGGAAAGTAAACAATGGAGAGCAATGTGGAAGGAAGCCAGGGTGTAGTCAGTGTGCTTTATTTATACAATGTAAGCAGAGCTGTTTTGGTTTGTTAGATCAAAAGGGACTTGCGTGGTCTGTTGACATCCAACCGCTGTGCTCAATGGTATCACGTAATTTAGAGGGTCAACCTGGGTATGATGTTCCTACTGTAAGGCGATCAGACCGGAGCTGTTTGATTTTAACCCGAGTCCCATGCTGAGTCATTTGACAAGGGCCGACATAGGTCAGTGAGCCATTCCCACTACCCCTAAAAACTGATTGTTCCTGGGTTTAAACAGGTTTTTCAGTCAGTGGGAACAAACTGTGGTCTGTTTGTCAGGTAGCCTTTGATCCAGGGAAGTTGATGCCTCCCCCGGAGTCCTCTGGAGTTGGTGACAAAGATCCTTTCATAGATTTGCAGTGTCTATCTGCTTTTCCAAATGACAGTGGGTTTGCTGAAGCAGGTGCATGATGGCATCTTCAACTCCAGCTACAAAAGAAGTAAGCTCTCTGGGCAAATAATATAGACGAAAAGCAAGTGCCAACAGTTCAATATTTTACAAATTTTCACAGTAACATGTCCTGCATGACACAAACTGACAAGAACTGTCAACACACATCCATTGAGTTTCCCTGTCTTCTTTATATCTCTGCTCATTTGGTCAAAAAAGCTGGCAGAGAGACGCTGGAGTCTGAGATGTGATCCTGCAGCCACATTTCGGTAGAAACCCATAAAGGGTCATTGCTGATATTCTGGATGGGTCCTTCCTAGGGCTTGGAGTTCTTCTTTTTTTTCTCCTAAAAATCTAATTTTGCCCATGAAGATGGAAGAGTTGGCTTAAATTTCCTGTTCCTCTCTCCTCTCCTTGCTCCTTTTCTGCATCTCCTGCGCCTTCTTTTCAACGTGGCTGGTACTTTAAGTAGTTGAATTATTACTTCAGTTTTAAAATGTTAATGAGTTGCTTCCAGGTATAAAAATCAACTTCATGTAGATGTTATGATTACATATAATAACGTGTCCAAAAAATGGAAAAAAATATCAGTAACAATCTTTCCAGTTTCACAGCGTTCAACGTTCAGCTATCAGAAATTAAAACTGATCCGCAAACGGAGGAACTAAAGTTCTCCTGAAAAAGAATATCAGTCATGCTAGCAGAGCCAATCCAACATGTAGCCACCTTAAGTAACCCAGTTCACGCAGTTATTTCAAATTTGGAAAATTTTAAATTTGCACGTGGTAAATGCTTACCTCTGCATATCCTCCACTCATGTTTTTTTAGGGTTCAGTCAATAAAACACGATCTGCATAATGATAAATGCACACAGAGAACAAAGGTTGCAAATACAAATGACTTTCCACCTTCTCTGCTCTGTGTGTACAAACACATTTGCACCTGTATGTAACACTCTGAAGATCAGGCCAAAAATATTTGAGGTTAAACAGAGTAAACCTCTTTAATTAACTGAGTAACGAGGTTCTCATTATATTCAGCTAATTCAATGCTCCTGTCTGCTTTTAGCCATTTTTATTCTAACATACAATTCAGGTCCTCAAAAGAAATATTTCTAAATAGCATTAAATGAGTGTTATCAATTCTTTAACTTTGATTTATGAAAATACTTACAGGCCCTATTTCCAGTTTTCCTTGTAGGCTAACAATGAAAATATAAACTTTCACTACTACATATGTTCAAATGTTAGAAACAAACGTAAGATTTTTTAGAGTGTCTGGATCATAAAACTGATCTCAAATTTGTCAGGATCCCAGTTTTTGTGTTTTTGTCTGTTTGTCTTGCCTTTTGTGTTTCTCCCTTCCACCACCAGGAGGCGCCTGGCTCCGGTTCGCCTCCTCACACACCTGCAAGCTGTTGCCTCATCACCTGACTGCTCTTAAGCTGCTGGTTGCCACTACTTTGACGCCAGAGTGTTTGCCAGTTTGGGGTACTCTAGCCAAGCCTTGTTTATGCTGAGTCTAATCTGAGTTTTTGCATTTTGAGTTTTTGTTCTAGCCAAGCTGAGATCACATTGAGTTTTACTGAGCGCTTGTTTCTTCCTGAGACTCAACTTTGTTTATTCTTTGCCTTTCGGCTGGAAGCCTTCCTGCAAACTGGACCTTTTCGGGCCGCCTTCTCCCAAGTGGGATCAGCTGATTCTTACACTGAGCGACGGATTCCAAACAGGAATCCAACCTGGTTTGGATCCAACCACCTTTGAGCACGCTGAGATCACTCTCTGAGTGAGGAAATCATCTTCACCACGACCCGTTCAAGTACCACAGGGAAACTGAGTTGCAACCAGCGGCTGCATCATTCCACTCCGTCCGAGTTCTGGGTAAACCCTGTTCCGCCCTCCACCGAATCAAACAAACCCTGGAAGACCAACGCACAGACTGGAGTCTACGTGTCTCTTCTTCTCTGGAAACGTGAGTGGCAACAAATCCTTTCCTTCAAAATTGAAAACTCCAATTTCCCACTGAGCCTGAACCTAACAGTCTGTCTTCCCTTCTTCTTCCAGTTTCCGACTGAGCAGAGTTTGGAGGAATTCTGCACCAAACTCTATTTACACCTCAATAAAACCCGTTGAACTTTCATATTGTGTCTCTCTGTTTGGCTTCATTGCATGTGGGTCCGAGCCTTAGAAAGAATCATGACAAAATTTATATTTTATATAAATTATATTTTGCATACATTTGATCAAAATGACTAATCTAAAATGAGGTTATGTTTTTAAAAAAAAGATAAATAAGAAATGAGGATAGCGCTCTTTTTGTTGTAAGACCTCTTGCAAACATCAATTGCTACTTCAGTGTAAGATTTGCAAGGATTTTCTACAAGAACATTTTAATATCATAAAATAAGCTAAAAAAATAATGCCGTTTTCTCTCTCTCTCTTTTCAGTGGTCATATTGTACGTTCAAGCTCTTGGTACTAAGGAGTGGAGAGAGGTAAGTTAACTTTTCTTTGAATCTTTAAATCAGATGTAATGATTGTGCTGTGTGGAGATTTAGCTGCATGGCAAAAAGCAAACTTTCTTAATCCAGTAGATAAAGATTTTCTGCTTAATAAATAAAAACAAACCCCAACTAATCAGTTATTTAAAAGGAAAAAAACTAATACATTCTGACAAACATTCCAGGAGATAATTATTTGTACACCACAAAAAGCAAGAATTGATAGAAAAAGGTTCAAATTATCAACCAAAATCACTTCTTGGTATTAAACTAATAATTATAATAAAAAACATATTAAAGTTAATAAATGCAGCCACACAATCTTCTTAATTAGTCCAGTAGTTATATGATGATTTTTAGAAAACAGTAAGAGTAAATAACCTTTGTCACAAAGTTAAAGTTATATATTTTTTGTCCTCATAACCATGGCCATCACTGTTTACCTGTGGATAAACGTGTGGCTGTTGCATTGTGGACATTGGCCACAAACAGCAAAAGTAGGACAGTGAGTCACCTCTTCGTCGTTGGTGTAGCGACTGTTTGCCATTGTCTGCAGGACTTCAGTGATGCTTAGGGTCAAAATGTTGCTACCTACTCATATTGAGGCTCCAGATGCCAAAAAGCTGATGGAACTAGCACTGTTTAAAAAAAAAATGGGTCCACTGCAATGTTTTGGAGAAATTAATGTCAGCTACACCCCTTTGGTAGCCCACATGAATACCCACAGGACTACTCCACATTTTGCAGGCAGTTGTTGACAGAACCTGCTAAACAAAAACCCTGTAAATATAAGTTGCTGTGACCCTCGTATCCCCTGAAAACATGGCTGATGAAACGATAGAATTACACTGCAGCAACACAGCTACAATTCAATTCAATTCAGTTTATTTCTGTAGCGCCAATTCACAACACAAGTCATCTCAAGGCATTTTACAGTTCAACCAGATCATACAGTTTTCTATCTTGATTGCATCGACTCATTCACTCAAATGGCCAAAATCACATTCCTAGACTGAACTGTAATAGCAGATTTTCTAAATGACATTTTTGCAGCAGAAACTGAATTTTAGAAAGTAAAAACAAAAAAATAATAATTTGACAATAAATTTGACATAGTTTATATTAATGTTTCCACATTTTAAGTGATCCTAGTGACATTTGTTAACTTGATTGAATATATATTTATGACATCTGAAATACATTTCTTTCTGATCAAAATATAACTTGGGACCAGTGACAATAGGAATATGGAGATCTGTAATTCATATCTAGACATTCAGGATGTTTATTCTAGATATATAAAAAGTTTAAGATGTTTAAAAAGTTTATTTTTTAAACATCGGCCAGAGAATCCGCCAGGAATGGGCCAGTAGCCACCCGGGCATCCACCCCCAAACCCCGAGCTCCACCAGTGCACCAGCAAGCCCAGCCAGCGGAGGGAGAGCAGGACGGGGGGAATGGGCTCCTCACTTGGCGGAGACTTGAGATGTGCTTGGGAGAGGGAGCAGTTCAGACCTCAACCTGAAAAAAAAAAACAGTCTCAATCACGCCTTCCCACCCCAGTGCCCCCACTCACACCACACAGTCTCTGTAAAGATGAGAAGAAAAAAAACGGGGACGCACATTCTTACATAACACTCACATCCAACAATCTCAGCACCAAGGGCCCGGCGGCACCGGTGGTTGGTCCCGGGATTATCGGTTGACCCAATAAGTTAACCTAAAATCCGGATAGGGGGGAGCGGAACGGTGACACCGCTACACTAACCCATCTCTCGTTCCTGTTTCGGGCCTGGCCCCGCACCCGGACCAGACCACCCCCAGCAAAAGCCCCCCCGGGATCGGGGCCCACTCGCCCTGCACAGGCTACCCAACCAGAGCCCCCCCCACGGCCCCTAAATAATTCATCCAGCCACTTCCTCCCCTAGAACCCTTTTAAGCAAGACATAATTTTTAGTCATCTCTGTAGTCCAACGTTTGGCCTACTGCACTGCAAGCTAAGAACCTGCTCGCTATACCCAGATTTTATGCCTTAACAACATGCCTGTAATTTTTAAATGTAGATTTATCAGTATTTATGGACAAATATAGCTGAGTAGCATCAACAGAACAGTGGGAAGCAACTTGGCTGAGCATTGAAACCCTGTGGTATGCCACAAGTGACTGATTTTGAAGAACATTTATTATTTTATAAGAAGTCGTATTCATTCATATCTAATTTTGGTCAATTATTAAATTTATGAATCTTAAACTGTCTCTCAGAATAAGTATTCTAATGACCCCCCCCTATTTTATATTTCTATGTCAGCATGTAACTCACACAATGACTGAGTCCGATTTTCTATCTAACAACAGATACAAAAAGATAAAAGGCTCTTTTCCATAAGTCAGAGAAATAAATTATTTTCTTTCGAAACTGGTTATTTTTCCACAGGGAAGAATTATTTACTTAATTGTGGAGCATCATTGTTACAACAGTGAAACTGATCAGTATGTTATAGATTTTTTTCTCTTCTCTGATCTCTCTTGCAGTTCGGTCGGACTGAAGTGATTGAAAACACGCTGAGTCCAGACTTTGTGAGGAAGTTTGTTCTGGACTACTTCTTTGAGGAGAAACAAAACCTTCGTTTTGACGTGTAAGAGGAAATATGATTCCCTCTTTTCAGGGTTACACTGCAGGTTTTCCCCACTTGAACGTCACTCAGTGAACAAGAAACTATTTTTTGTTTTTCTCTTTTATTTTGGTTATTAAGGCCGCAATAAGTAAAAAAAACCTTTCAAATAAAAAAAAGTATTAGAAAGCAATTTAGACTTAAGAAACCAAAACCCAATAATTCTAAGTTAACTGTGACCAACCATAAATATCCTTTTAATACCTAGAAATCATCCTTCAGAGGAAGTATACAAATCAACATTTAAACACCCAAAATCTTTAGTCCTGCATTGTCTTTTCCTCTGTAATACTCTGACACATTGATTGTTGCTGCCCGGTGAGTGAATACTTCCAAACTAATCATCAGGTCATCATAATGGCTTAGTTCGAATCAGCCGTTTACATCATCCAGAATTGTAGAAATATGTATATTTATGTAGAGCATTAAGCTTCTCTCCTTAACAGTTTTTTTCTGCAGTACTTTTGCTTTTATACTTTACATAGTTTTAAAAATTGTACTTTTACACTTTTAATAGTGGAGTGCAGTGGGTAGCGCTGCTGCCCCGTAGCATGAAGGTTCTAGGTTCGATTCGCGGTTCGATTCACACACACGCACACACACACACCTAAGGAGGATTTAGAGAAGCCAATTATCTTAAAGGAATAGTACACCCAAAACATGATTAGCCTTCATTTTCTACTCACCCCCATGCTGAACAACACTCTGGAGTACTTTTTTGATATCTCTAATGCATCTGGAGATCTGGGAGGCTTCTTGCTGTCTGCTGACATTCAAATAATGGAGGTCTATGGCGCCCGAGGCAGAAAGGTCCATAAAAGTCCACAAAAAACGTGTCAATATTCCTCCATACTGCTCGTCCAATGTATTCCAAGTGTCCTGAGTGGGTAGCGTCCAGAATTTACTCGAAACGAAGTCATTTAGAATGTTTTTAGAGCATAAACAGTAGTGTATAGGATTTCCTAAAAGCGCGTTCACGAGTCTACGGAAACTGCGGCAGACCAAACCAGATGAAAGTGCGCATTCAGCTCGGCAAAGAACTCATGCTCTTCCTCAACACTGAAGTCCTCAGACATTTTTCTTTCGTTGTTTCTTTCTTTGCACAGGTAAACAGCACATTTCTTCTTCTACGCTTGCATTATCGGCAGAGCAGACGCTGAATGCGCACTTTCATCTGGTTTGGTTTTGCAAATACTTTAAGATCTCATGTGCAAAAAGAGCTTAGAGCTGAGGTCTTGTTGTTGAGCAGTGTTGTTGAGCAGGCTTTGAATCTTTAAACAGGCGTCAAGCTTCTTCGTAAAGATCAAATATGCATCTCGAAGGAGTGAAGAGCACTTAAAAAAATTGAACTCTAAATATGTCATTTTTTCTTAAAATAAGTGCACTTTTTTCTTGAAATTGCAGATGGAACAAGCCAATCCAGATTTAAAATAAGAAAAAATAATTGAATTACCTTATTTCAAGTGTATGTTATCTAATATTATTTTAAGAGAAAAAAAAACCCTCACTCAATCAGCAAATCATCTTATTGACCTGCTTAAATTAGGGACAATGCACTTACTGTAAGAAATATTTACTAATTTTTAGATGGTTTTTGCAGTGAGGAAGAGTTTAAAATAACAAATTCTCCGGGGCTCACTGGGATGGAGGCTTTCTTCTTCTGCTCAATAATCTTCAGAGAGACTTAAAAAAAACAGAAAACAGAGGTAAAAGATTCTGTCAAAATAAAAATAAAAAAATCATTTTTAAAGGTTCCCCTGGTGGCTTATTTAGAGGAGCAACAGAAAGACCTCGGTCATCACACTGAATTTCCAGGAGTATTTTTCTCTCTGCTGGGTTCGATTCAAAAGTTTTTAAAAGGGAGACTTCCGGTGACGATGCGGCGAGGAGAGGACGCATGCTGAAGAGCTAGAGCTGACTTCGGCCATCCCACGTTTTTACTTTCCATCAGAAGGCTTAACCTGTGTGAGATCAGCATGAACTAGGCTGCACAGATGAATAGAGGGAAAAATTTGAGGCTAAAGAGCACAATGGGCACTAAAATTGACCAAATGATGCTGTCGAGCTAACGAGGCTAACTGTTGGGTTCATAAATATAGGTTTGCAAAAGAAGAAATGAAATACACAGTAATGGATACAATTTCTGTGGAAGGAGAGACAGTTGAACCCCAGACTCAAACACACCGTCTCCCACTGGACCTCCTCCGCGGAGCGTTTTATTATCAGAACATGACACATGATTACAAACAGAGTATTGTTCTGACAGGATGCTCCATCAGAATGACAAGGCAGGATGGTCTCCTGACTGAATCACAAGACACAGTGGAGCATCCCCTTGCACAAATGTTTCATAAGCACACATTAATTTTATAATCATCATTGAATAAACCTAACATTCCCTCCTGTTGTGCATATAAACATTCGCATGTAGCACTTTTAAAAAGATTTTTACTACACACATCATAAATGCATTGCAGATAGGAAATTCTGTAATCAAAGATCAATATGCAAAAAACAAAAATATAAAAAGGATTAAAATGTAAAACTTAAGCAAAAATGTAAGATTTATCAAGAATGTAAAAAGCTTCAAAAATGTGTCCCTTGAGTAGGCAAAACCTCTCCAATAGAGGAAAGTGGACAGTTGCCACACCATCAGTATCTTCACCAGCATCTTGGCGGAGTTGAACATAAGTTACAGCTGAATACTTGATTAGAGTGGATCCTATCATTCTCTGAATCATTGACTGGAGACATGGTATTACGCAAAAAATAAAAAGGAAAAATATAAGAACAATCCTACAAATGGTAAAGCTATCTTAATCAGCACCTGCCACCATGATCCCATGGTGAACCAACTTGTCCATGGTGCTGGACTTGCACCGGAGGTGTTATGGTCAACACACCTCTTTAAATCTTCAACTCATCCAGAGCGGTCTGTATGAGTACAAACATAACAGTCTGTTTTGTTCAAACCTTCAGCAACGCGCTTGGAATGCTGCCACCACATATTGGCACTGTAGGGATGACTTGGTGTGGATCCATCAAAAACCATTCTGGTTTTCCTTTGTTTCTGGCGGTCAATTTGAGTCCTTAAGAGCACCAGTCCAATGGTCCCCATCAAGCAGCAGAGCCACTGTAGTTTTCCCATCTTGACCAGTCCCTCCATGGAAGCACCCACTTACCAGGATGCTAAGGGACTGGGTCAGGTTGGTTTCTTCACCAGCGTTGAGAGGTAAAGCTCTAAATTGCTTAACCCCTTTCTAGCTGGGCTTCACCACCGATCCCTACCTTAGTCGTGGGGTCCCTGTGAAGATAACTGGGCTTCTTGCTGAGGAAAAACTTTAATCAGCTTACAATGACTCTGGTGGATCCAAGTGTCTTTCTCCTGGATCTTAACAGCGGTTGGAGTTGCTTGTTGCACAATGTAGGGTCCTTCGCACCTTGGAGCTGCCCAATTTTCCCCTTGATGATTTTAATCAGCACTCGGTCTCCAGGCTTCAGGCCTTCCTGTGGGGAAACAAAGGGAGCTCTGGGCAGATTACATGTTCTTCGCAACATGTGAGACATGCTCTGCAAAATTTTTTTAAGTAGTTATTTAATCCTGCAGTTGGATTAAATACTTGTTTTACTATACTCATTATCCCTCCCGTTGAGACATAATAAACTCATGGCTCAAAATAGCTGCTGCTTTCAATCAGAATCAGAATCAGAAATACTTTAATTATCCCAGAGGGAAATTACTTTAAATTACTCTTGTTACACACTCAAGTTACAGTTTTTTATATATATATATATATATATATATATATATATATATATATATATATATATATATATATATATATATATATATATATATATATATATATATATATATATATATATATATATATATATATATATATATATATAAAAGAACTGTTTTCTCCCCCCTAGGGGGGTGGTATGTGTCATCCTCAAGCTGGGGTCCTCTACCAGAGGCCTGGGAGTTTGAGGGTTCTGCGCAGTATCTTAGCTGTTCCTAGGACTGCGCTCTTCTGGACAGAGATCTCTGATGTTTTACCTGGAATCTGCTGTAGCCACTCTCCCAGTTTGGGGGTCACAGCCCCCAGTGCTCCAATTACCACTGGCACCACTGCTGCTCTTACTTTCCACATCTTTTCTAGCTCCTCTTTCAGCCCTTGGTATTTCTCAAGCTTCTCGCGTTCTTTCTTCTTGATGTTGCTGTCGCTTGGGATTGCCACATCTATCACTACTGCCTTCTTCTGCTGTTTGTCGATCATATATATATATATATATCTATATACACACACACACACTCAACTACACAATACAATATAAAAAAAAAAGAATATAGGGGAGCTACTGTTTCCACGGGTCCTTTAGACTAGGACACTACAAGTATGAGCCTATCACCATGAGGCTGCAAACACAGAGGTCATATAACTGGCTTTACCGTCAACTGTTTGGATGAACGGTTTTTGATAATTTTGCAGAGCTAAGACAGTTGCCAAGAAAAGTTCTACTTTTAGCTTTGTGAATTGCTGTTCTACTTCTGGGATCCATTAAATTGTCTCTGACATAGCTACTAGTGTGTCATAAAAAAAACTTAAGAAAAGCTGAGTTTTTTTTACATAATGTGGAATCTAAGCCCTGCAGTAATTGCACAATTCTAAAAAGACATTCTTGTAGCTTTTTACCTTCTTCTGAAATAACATGGCCCAAGCAACAGACTTGTTTCTGCACCCGCTAAAATTTTTATAACTGGTTTTATACTTTCCTTTGCTTCACATTTTAGCAGATATTGTTTTATCCTTGGCCTGATTTAGGAACTATTTTAACTGGATCTACAGTTGTCAACAGTCCTACATCAATTTTTTCTGTAGACCACAAAGCATTTGGAATATCTTTGAAATCATTTTCATCAGATTGTGATAGCAAACAATGCTGAGTTATTTTAACACATGCTAAATCTTGAACCTGGGGTTTTACATCAAACAGAATTTTATAAGGCTGTTTCCATAGTTGGAACAGATAGACATAGAGCAGAAATGCTAAGCATGTTGCATAAAACACAGAAGGATTAAGTTGCAACACCATTACATGGTCTAATCTGAGGTAATGTATCTTTCAGAACAGATTTATCGGCTCTGGTGTCCCACAGAACTTTCACTTTTACCCCTTGTATGTTTAAATGCCAGTATGGTTTTTCTGAGGTGTTTAATAAAGAAAAGAAAATTTGCTGTAGATCCAGGACCTCCACTGAGTCCACAATTAACTGCTCCTCTAATTTTTTTAATTTTCTGAATGTAGCTTGCATGACTAAAATAATTTTCTGGTGGGTTATTTATTTAAAATTTTTTGGTTCCGAACCTAATAGTTTTGGAGACCCTGCAGGCGCATTAGGAAGGCTGTCAGTTGGATCAATGCTGCAGTCATCGCTCCAGTGACATCCCCCCCGCGCTTGTGCAGATTTAAGCTGTGTCCCTCTAAACTGTGTTTCATTATCTTTTGGACGCACAAACATCGTATCTACTCATCGTATCTAACATCGTATCTACTCATCGTATCTAACATCGTATCTACTTTTATTTTATCATTTAGTTCTTATTATTTTATTATTTTGGAATAGAGGCGTCCCTCAAACCCATATTTTTTTAAAACATATATTCAAGTGTTTATTTTTTGTTGGATCCTGCGCTTCTACAAACTTCTAATCGTAGATTTTAAATTATCTCTAAATTTATTTTAACCTTTACCCATTTTAAAGAATTTAGTCCAGTACAAACACCTAGGGTATTCTACGCACTGGATGTTTATTCAGCAGGACAGTACCCAAAAACTGTTGTGGTAATTTCTGCTTCTACCTTTTCAGGTGAGAATTTCTTGCCTCTGCATCCACAAGGGCTGTACAGTATTAAACCCCTGCTGTTTTAGTATGAAACAACAGAACCCAACGATTCGATTGTTTCCTCACACACTCTCACATAGTCACTCCTATTTTAAGGCCTATTATATTTTTTTTATTTTAACCAATATAGATGCAAAACACCTATCGTTACGTGTACACTTTGGAGTCTCAAACTTCAGGCCCTCGCGCGCAACGGATACCCAGATGCCACATCTGTCAACAAAACTTGGTTTTGTCAAACATCCCTGCTGCGGCAGCTGCAAACCTTACTATCTCGAGAACAACACAGAGTCCCAGACTCAAACGCACAGAATACCCAGATGCCACATCTGTCAACAAGACTTGGTCTCGTCAAATATTCTTGTGATTACAGCTGTAACTTAAATGGTCCCAGACCAACTTTTAATCAAAAGCTTTAGGCCTACCCTTTGGCGTGTAGACCAGTCCTCAGCGGGAGTCATCACCAAGATGCCCAGGGCAGGGCTGGACCAAACTGGCCCTGTCCGGTGAATTGAGGATGGCTGTTGACAGATTCTTGGCCTTGGTCCCACACGGTCCTGGACAATTGGATCTTGACTCCCGGGTTTCGGCACCAAAATGTTAGGTTAAAAAATGTAGTAACCAAGTCCACACAGAAGAGGGATTTTTTAACGGCTTCTGCAGAAGGAGAGAGCTACATTCAGCTACATCTACTCTCTGATGGACTTCCTCTGCAAAAGCCTTTTTATTAGCAGATCATAACAGTTGGGGTGGGTTACAAAATGGAGTGTTCTTCTGACAAGGCAATTGATCAGGTCATAGGACAAAATGCTCCTCTGATTGAATCACAGAATAGGGTGGTCTCCTGATAACTGTGATTAGCCTTGCACAAACATCAGCAATTTTCTACCACCGTTGCATGACAGTTTGCAGTAAACAGAGTGAAGCATCTCATTTCTCCCATGTTCCATATGTACACACATTAACTTTATAATCATCAATGAATAAACCTAACACACCCCTATATATTCGGAATGGTACGCAGCACTTTTCAAGACCACCTCTTACGAACGACTCATACACAAAATAAACAGCCAGATTGAGGCGTATCAAAGTACATGGGAACCGTTTTTAAAACCAGAGAGGAAAGACTCAAACACTATTGATCCAGAAAAAAGATGCAGTGTGTGAGAATTTTTTTTCTTTTTTTTTTTCTCTTTAGTCTCATCTGCTGGCGGAGGTGGGGGGAGTACGGGAGGGCTGGGAGGGGTTCATGGTTAAATGTTAAAAAAACCAAGTCCTTCTCTGTACAATCACTCAATGTTGTACACTTTACAGTACTGACACTGTCATCACTGGTTATACTGTATGTTTAAATGTTGAAGGATGTAATAAACATTAAAATCGAAAAAAAAAGTTTTAAAACATTTATTTAGAAAAATATCTATTTTAGTTATTTGAAGTTGCTTGTTTTCTATGTTACATTGTAAAAGCACTAAATAATCTTGTTTGGTTGGACTGTAGGTACAATGTGGACATGAGGAGCTGCAACCTGTCCAAACATGTAAGTAGTTTTAAAATGTTAAAAACTGACATGGGTCAGTGGTAGAGGCTGGTTCTCTTCTATTTACTGCTTTTTTTTCTTCTCTGTCTTCCAAGCCCAATGGAAAGACAGCTGTTAGAATAAACGTATTAAACTATGGCTTCTGTATAAAAAGCCTAAAAAACAAGAGCCAGGAAACAGTAATAAAGTCCCATGGAAGCAAAGGCTCTTCTCTTACTTCAAGGTTTATGTCCCGTTTGTTTATTTATTTATACAGCCCATTTTTAACATTTTTAAAACTAGATAATAACAAAAAAAAAAAACATGATGGTTTATTGTGATGCATGACAACCACTTAGACATGAATAACTAAGGCTGGTAAAAGGTTTTAGTGCTAATTTCTCGTCCAAGAGGTGTTTTTATAAAGTATCCCTGTTTTTGAACTAAGGATAAATAAAGATGTTTGCTTTTGCTTCCTGTGTAACTTCTTTTCAATCTTCTCTCACTGCCTCCTGACCTGCTGAGCAGAAGGTAAGCAGATTAAATATAGTCTAAGTTTGAATTCAGAAATTTGCATGAACTTTAGCTCTAAAGTTCTTTTATGGAACTTTAGAGCTAAAGTGGATTGTTATTGTCTCAAACCATTTTTTTTTATAGTATAAATATTTCTATAAATGCATAAATGTTTTTGCAGAAACAACTGTTTCCTTTACTGTTGTTCTGGACATTTAAAAACCCGTGAACATCAAGTTCAGATTTAAATCAAAGTTGAAAAATTACATAACTGAAAGTGACATTTTGATAGCTTAATTTAAACATCAATGGAAAAGACTAACCCTTTGCTGACTTGGCTTCCATTTGGCAGACAAACTTGTAAACATTCCTGAATCTGAATGGAGCTAAATTTGTTTTAGGAAGACTTGAGAGAATACTGTACAATCTTTAACTTCTAAAACATCTGAATTAAATTCCTAACACTGGACCGGAAAGAAAATTGTCAAACTTTGGCAATAAGATGATCAGATAATATTTTTGGTAACATCCTTAATTTGGTATATAAAAGTCTTGACTTAATCATCAAACCAAGCTATTTGACGTGACCTGAAAGGTTAATGCCAGTGTTTAAAGGTGGGCTCTGACTTTCTCTCACTAAATGTCTGTGCCAGTCACTAAAACCGTGTTGTTGCATGACTTAGTATGAGGAAATGTATCTGCCATCCATGATTCTATTAAATTCAGAGGCCCACTGGGGTTCCAGGAGACAGAAGCAGACATAGAAAAAGAGGCAGCTTTGAGCCAGCTCCCATGTCAGAGGATGAAGAGAGCACATCCATTTAGTCACAGTCAGAGAAACAGGACTACACTGAAAAACAGGCCAAGCTCCAACATCTAGAAACAAAGGTGTTGATGGCAGCAGCACAGCTGATATTTCTGTCCAGGATGAAGAATGTTAGAGATTGAACGAACAGATTCTGCAGAGTGGGAGAATAGAGATAGAATGAAGCAGAATGATGAAAAAGGGGTCCCTATGTCCTCCAGCAGTCTATGCCTATAGCAGCAGAACTATAGAGACAGATCAGAATAACCTGAGCAACTCTAACTAGAAGCTTTATCAAAAAGGAAAGTTTTAAGCCTAGCCTTAAAAGTAGACAGGGTGTCTGCCTCACGGACTAACACTGGTAGTTGGTTCCACAGGAGAGGAGCCTGAGAACTAAAAGATCTGCCTCCCATTCTACTTTTAGAAATTCTAGGAACCAGCAATGATGCAGTAATGATGTGGGCATTGGGTTTGAAATAATGTTTTCTCTTTAGAGATATAACTCATGTAGTTTATCAGCATCAATAAAGTAAATACTGTGAAATGTTTTCTCACCAACCAAAAATGACTCAGAGGTTTAATATTTACATCAAAATTTCCCCCCTGGCAATTACATCAGTTAGATGAAATGAGCTGTAACCTCACGACACTCTACTGGTATATGCTGGGAGTGCTGGTTTTGTTAATCTCTCTAAGCTAAGCATATATATGTGATGATGTAACTCATTTGTCAACTCACCTTTACAGATTATAATCTTTATATTTGTTTTCCAGATAGTCATAAAAAAGCCAAAACCTTTTTTAAATGTATAAAAGGTGAAGGGTATTAGTTATGTGTGGCTAGAACGGTAACCTCTCTTTGCTCCTGTGCAGGACTTTCTGGGTCAGATATTTTGCACTCTCGGAGAGTTCATTGGTTCCCCTGGCAGCAGGCTGGAGAGGACGCTCTCGTAAGTACCCCATGCTCTGTTGGACCTTTTGTTTTATTCATGCTTCCATAAAAAAAAATCCAATAGAAATCTAATAAATGACTGACATTTAGATCTATCCTAATCTGATCTATCCTAATCTGAGGACTATGCCAAGCGAGGATAATCCTCCCTAGATTATCCTCTCTTGGCATCTTTCACACCCCTCTCGACTGTTTCCGGTCATATCTCTCTGACCAACTTAATCTTTCCCACCCTTCCCCTGTCACTTCTGGTGTCCCTCAAGGCTCAGTTCTTGGCCCCCTCCTTTTCATCCCCTTGGCAATATTTTACGCAAATTCAACATTCATTTTCATTGCGCTAATGACACCCAGCTCTATTTATCCAGTAAACCCACCTCTTCACTCACCCCATTGTCCCTTACTATTGAACTTCCTTGAACCAGACAGTAATAAAACCAAACTCCTCCTTGTTGCCACAAATCCACCCTGTCCAAGATCTCCTTGATCTTCCCCTTCCCTCAGGTCAAGAGTCTGGGTGTCCTCCTAGACTCCTCCCTACGAATCAGTCATGCATAGATAGTATTAGCCGGTGTGCTTACTTTCACCTACACAACATTAATCGCCCAGCGTATGCCTGACTGAAGGAACATCTGGTAAAAACGCAGGCATACATTGGATGAGTTATGGGTACGTTTAATATAAGTTATGAGCACACTGAAGTACGCTGAAACACATTGAAGCACGCTGAAACATGACGACATATGGCAAGTACATCGAGAAATTTTGCCAGTGTATACTCATCCGTGGGCCATAAGATCGAGGTTAAGTTATCTGATGGTTGACATACGTTTAGTGTCAGTTCCTCATCAGTCGTGGCGTCTAGCTTATCCTAAACCTCTGAGTAACTTCTGTATAACTTATCAAGAACTTCTCTCCAACGCATATCAACATATCTGACGTGTTCCAGACGACTTTCTAACTTCCAGCTACTGTATAATGGCGTATTGGCAGCGTTTTGGTATAAAGGGGGTTCACAGGAGGAAACCGTCAGTTCTCCTCCAGACTTCATCCCCATCATAGGGTGAGCCAGAAGGTGAGTGATGGATCCTCCCTGCGTTAACGCCCACCACCAACACACTTCCCAGCAGACATGACGCTCAATCTGCTGCCACCAAAAACTTTCTTTCTTTCTTTCTTTCTTTCTTTCTTTCTTTCTTTCTTTCTTTCTTTCTTTCTTTCTTTCTTTCTTTCTTTCTTTCTTTCTTTCTTTCTTTCTTTCTTTCTTTCTTTCTTTCTTTCTTTCTTTCTTTCTTTCTTTTTAGTTATTCTCTTTTTTTTGGGTAGATGGTGTCATCATATATCGCCTGAGTGGAGCAGCTTTAACTGATACAATGAAATGATGCTTGTGCATAATTTCATGGGCATTACGCTGCCGTGTGTTATTCTTTTTGTTGTCATTTTCTTCTGTGTGTCCATCTGAAAATCTTTGATGAAATCTGCATGTGTTGGATTTTAACATTTTCTTTATAGTAGGAAACACATGGACGGCTCCTCTGCTCTTTAGCAGTTCCTTCTTTTCTTCAAGCCATTATTAATTCAGACTGGTGTCGACATGGTGGGAAAAGAGGCCAGCTTGTGCTCAGGATTCGTACTTAAAGTGCTGCGTGCCAGAAGTTCTCAGAGGACATGATGGCATCAGCCTATCAGTACTGTAACTCATTTTCTCTGTGTCTCAGAGCTGTGGGTTGTGGCTCTGCAGATATCTGTTAGACTCAGAGCCTCTGTTTGATGCATTTCTGGAGAAGTCGAATCTTCAATAAAATTGTAACCAAATGTATTATAAAGTTATTTTAAGAATTACAGGTAAATAGAGGATATTCCAGCAGAGAAGATAAGAAGTTAGTGGTCCAACTGGTTTAATATTAACATCCCATGTGTAGAGGGATCCTTAATGTTTCTCCTGTTTACAGGTTTCTGTCAGTGGTCCGGATCCCTGTGATGTTTGTCACCTCATTCCACTACTGATTTTAGCTCAAATCGCAAAGCTTCACAAGGCATCATCTGACAGTAACATCCAAGCTGGCAGGATATGCCTTTGATGTGCCAGATAAATGTTGTTGGATGAGCGGAGCTTTGTTGTGATGTGTCCTTGTGTGATGCCTTCTGAGCAGAAAGCAACGATATGCACCAAGAGCTGAAAAATCTTGTATGTCTCCAATTAAGCTAGTACTCAATTTAGAGAATCTTTAATATGCACTAAATATTATAAGTAATTAATGTTTAGTAGAAATAATCTGAAGTTGTTTTGCACTTCACAGGCCTAAAATAAGTGCTGTTGAATTCAGATATATCTGTGACGATTTTCAATCATCCAGATCATGGTGAAGCTTGAAAAAGTTTCAGTTTATTAAACTGGACATGAAATTTTCTAGAAGATGTCTCTCCTCTCATCCAAGAGGCTTCAGGTTTAACTTGTGTTGGGGAGCACTGACAATAATAGTTTGTAGGTGGAACAAAGAATTAGGGCAAACACAAGATCCCTCCTACTGGGTTGGCCAAGGAGGTCACCTAGGGGTTTAATGGTTGTCAGGGGATCCTAATGGGTCATTAACTCAGTCACATTCAGTCACATTTCTCTTTGAAGTGGAAGTCGTTGGCCAATTCAGTGACAGAGACAGAGCAGTAATAATACCAAAATTGTTAAAAAAGGACCAAATAAAGATTTTCCATTTAATATAAAACAAAAAAACATTTTAATCTGTCAATCTGCTCTATCCAGAACGCCTTAAGTGGAAATATGTTAGTTTCAACTGGTTAAATTTCGTAAAATGTGTTCTTTAAGGAACCTTTGGCTATCCCATTAATCGATTGAGCTAAAGAATAATCAACAGAATAATGTATATATATATATATATATATATATATATATATATATATATACACTACGGTTCAAAAGTTTGGGGTCACATTGAAATGTCCTTATTTTTGAAGGAAAAGCACTGTACTTTTCAATGGAGATAACTTTAAACTAGTCTTAACTTTTAAGAAATACACTCTATCCATTGCTAATGTGCTAAATGACTATTCTAGCTGCAAATGTCTGGTTTTCGGTGCAATATCTACATAGGTGTATAGAGGCCCATTTCCAGCAACTATCACTCGAGTGTTCTAATGGTACAATGTGTTTGCTCATTGGCTCAGAAGGCTAATTGATGATTAGAAAACCCTTGTGCAATCATGTTCACACATCTGAAAACAGTTTAGCTCGTTACAGAAGCTACAAAACTGACCTTCCTTTTTTGTAGATTGAGTTTCTGGAGCATCACATTGATGAGGTCAATTAAACGCTCAAAATGGCCAGAAAAAGAGAACTTTCATCTGAAACTCGACAGTCTATTCTTGTTTGTTCTTAGAAATAAAGGCTATTCCATGCGAGAAATTGCTAAGAAATTGAAGATTTCCTACAATGGTGTGTACTACTCCCTTCAGAGGACAGCACAAACAGGCTCTAAGCAGAGTAGAAAAAGAAGTGGGAGGCCGCGTTGCCCAACTGAGCAAGAAGATAAGTACATTAGAGTCTCTAGTTTGAGAAACAGACGCCTAACAGGTCCCCAACTGGCATCTTCATTAAATAGTACCCGCAAAACATCAGTGTCAACATCTACAGTGAAGAGGCGGCTGCGGGATTCTGGGCTTCAGGGCAGAGAGGCAAAGAAAAAGCCATATCTGAGACTGGCCAATAAAAGAAAAAGATTAAGATGTGCAAAAGAACACAGACATTGGACAGAGGGAGACTGGAACAAAGTGCTTTGGATGGATGAACCCAAGTTTGAGGTGTTTGGATCACAAAGAAGAACGTTTGTGAGACGCAGAACAAATGAAAAGATGCTGAAAGAATGCCTGACGCCATCTGTTAAGCATGGTGGAGGTAATGTGATGCTCTGGGGTTGCTTTGGTGTTGGTAAGGTGGGAGATTTGTACAGGGTAAAAGGGATTCTGAATAAGGAAGGCTATCACTCCATTTTGCAACGCCATGCCATACCCAGTGGACAGCGCTTGATTGGAGCCAATTTCATCCTACAACAGGACAATGACCCTAAACACACCTCCAAATTGTGCAGGAACTATTTAGAGCAGAAGCAGGCAGCTGATATTCTATGGGTAATGGAGTGGCCAGCGCAGTCACCAGATCTGAACCCCATTGAGCTGCTGTGGGAGCAGCGTGACCGTATGGGACGCTAGAAGTTCCCATCCAACCAATCCAACTTGTGGGAGCTTCTTCTGGAAGCGTGGGGTGCAATTTCTCCAGATTACCTCAACAAATTAACAGCAAGAATGCCAAAGGTCTGCAATGCTGTTATTGCTGCAAATGGAGGATTATTTGATGAAAGCAAAGTTTGATGTAAAAAAAAAATCTTATTTCAAATACAAATCATTATTTCTAACCTTGTCAATGTCTTGACTCTATTTTCTATTCATTTCACAACGTATGGTGGTGAATAAGTGCGACTTTTCAGGAAAACACACATTGTTTTGGTGACCCCAAACCTTTGAAACGTCGTGTGTATGTATACATACATATATATATATATATATATATATATATATATATATATATATATATATATATATATATATATATATATATATATATATATATATATATATGTATGTATATATATATATATATATATATATAAAAATATATATGTAACCCTAACCACCAAGGCTAAATGCTAAGGATGTCTGAGAGCAAGTATAGCCAGATGCCCATACCTGAGGCACTGGAAACAGCCAAACAAAGACTCCAAGCCTCAACCAGCCGCCTAAAGAGATAAACAAGAGACAATGAAGCCAGACGGGTAAACGTCTGTTCACAACTCAACCAGCGAAAGTGTACGCTTAGTGGCAGGGGGACAATAGTAGAACAACCCTACCGAACACGGAACGGTACTGGAAAGACATATGGAGGAAGGAGGCAGCACAAAACAGGGAGGCACAGTGGCTGGTAGCTCTGAG